AACTTGGCTTTGTGGTGTTGCAGCCCCAGTCACTGTGTGAGTACAGGGAAAGCAGGAGGCTGCACTATACAACCTGTCTTCATTAATAAACTACAAAATATAAACAATTTAATGTTACCTGTTGGAGATGACAGCTGAATTCTGAAATTAAGCACTGTCTGAATAGCTAAACTCCAGGTTAAGCATTGACTGAATAACTAAACCCCAAGATGCCCCTATCTCATGGACTCCTGAAAATTAGCACATAATAAATTTGTAAAGCTGGCTCACTGTACTCAGCTTTTCTTCCCCTGATAACACAGCTAAGAGTCAAATGCAAGCCATGATTTAAGGGTATGTAACTCTAAAAGAATCTGAGCCCTGCAGATGCATTTTTGTAATAATTCTAGAATCTTCTGGAATTCATAGTCTTTGAAAAACTGGTGCAGTTTTGTTTGTTATTGCCAAGTTTTTGATGATATAAAGGAGGTTTCTTTTGAGTACTGCAGAAATATTTAAATATTTCTGTCTTGCAGCATGGAGAGTAGCTCAAGCACTGGAATAGGGTCCTCAGGACGTGGGTTGTATTCCTAGTTTTACTTCTGACTTCTTAGATGGTTTTGGGCAAATGGTTTTTCTGTTTCTCCCTTGAATATTCCAGTTTCTGCCCTGTGAAAGGTTCATGTAATATTTGCTTCCACTGTAAACATAACATGCTATCAGCTCCACCAGTGAAAAGGAATATTTTCCAGATGGTGGATTTCTTAGCCAGCTGTGTGGTCTTAATTGCTGAACTGCCTTTAGATTTTGTTACTGTTGTTGTTATTAATTAAAAAGTCTGCATGTAATTCTCTGTCACTTCAGGAAGTCCCTTGACAGAGCGGGAAGTGGCAGCCCCCAGCAGCTGTGTGTCGTTTGCTGTTGCTGGAGCAGATGCCCCAGTAACCACTCCAGTGGTGGGGAACACAGACTCCCCAGTCTGGGACTTCCAGCAGCAGGCAAGGTGAGAGGGGGGGATTCACAGACACTCCCTGGGTCTGACAGCCAGGCAGGTGTGAAAAGGGCTTATGGCTGGGGGTTTGTTAGCTCAGGCCTGGATATCTGAGCTTAAATTTAAAAAGATGAATTGGCTGCTTCAAGGAACCTCAGCAGATCAAGCCATACATGGCAGTATTCAGGATTAACCTGTGTGATCCAGTCTTGTGTCTCCTCCAGTGTTTCTAAGATCTGAATCCCTTCAAAGAGCTTAAAAACTGTTCTACATTTAACACTTCATTTTTCCTTTTGTTTTTTTTTTTTTATCTCCAGCACTGAACTTCAAACATTACAGCTTTGAACCATATCCCCAGTGCTTTACTGTCACTGTGTTTCTGAGTCATGAAATAAACTGTATTTCTATTACTTCACAATTCCTTTGTCCTATCTTTTAAATGTACAGCAAGAGTGAGGAGAGGGAAATACTTCTTGAATAAGCAGAAGCCTGAACTATGTAGTGATGTGTTGTGCTTTGAGGCTCAGTAATTTTGGGGTTTGTTTTGTTCCTGCCCCCATCAGTACAGAAAGAAACTGTAGATAAAATGGGTAGATAAAATGGCACTGAAACCTCAGAAGCATTTTACTGCTTTTTCCTGCTTTGCATAAAATATTATGGTTTTTGTTCCTAACAGATTATCCAAAGAGCTTCTCCTGGATCCACAGCAAACCTTGGTCTTCAAAGTGTGGCATAAAGCAGGTAAAGTTTGTGGTGCAGTATTAAGAGGAGTGTGTTTTCTGCATCCCCTTCCTTAGGTTTTTGTATTTCATGCAAGGAAAATAAATTCTGTCAAGTGAATAGGAGAGTAGAATTGTAATGCCATCTTTTGCCTTGTACAAGAAGAATACCAGAGATAAATACCCACAGATTTCCTGGCCCTTGGAATCCTCCTTTTCCCATTAATCATCTTACAGGATTTGGTTCATCCTTATTCTCTCTGGTTTTATTTTGATGGTGCTTTAGAGGCTGGATTTTCCTGCTGAAAGAAATTCTGAACTGCTTCCTTCACGTGCTGTTTGTTGTTGCTGCAGTTGGTTGAAGCTTGGCCAGCCAGTTGTAGCCAAATACTTTTATTTCTTTCTTTTTGCACATTGAAGTTCAGCTGTCTGATCTTTGCTTCAAAAATAAACTTCCTGTGTATGCAGAGCACGGGGTGCACTCTGTGCTTCTGCTGCCAGTCCCTCTCCCTGCCCTGGCTTTCACTGTTGTGCAGGGATGTTTTTAGCTGAACGTAACCCAGGTCACCCAAACAAGATCCCCCTGTTGGACAGGATTGTTCTGCACCTCGGGTCAGCTTCCAAGCCACGTTTCCAGGGCTGTGTTTTAGCATTCCTGAAAATGATTGATATCAGTGTGCATGTGCCTTGTGTCCTTCTTCCCCAGAGTCGGAGCGAGTGATAGGATTTGCATCCGTGGACCTCTCTCCTCTCCTCTCTGGCTTCCAGCTGGTGTGCGGGTGGTACAACATCACAGACTTCAGCGGGCAGTGCCGAGGGCAGATTAAAGTGGCCGTGTCCCCTCTCCAAAATATAAACCATCTCAAAGAAGAAAGGCAGGCCAGGGCCCGAAGCCAGCCGGAAAGTTCCTCTGTATGTCCTTCCATGTCCTCCCCTCTCACACTTCATTGGGTTGCTAATAATCAGCACTCTGGCTTCCCGAGCAAATTCACAGCACTGTCATGGGCCGGTCTGCGTAAATGTACCAAAACCACCTAATTCCCTAGGAATTCTGCTCCAGGTTTCCATGGTAGCTGCTGGCCAGTGCTAGTTACAGCTCCTCAACCAGGTCATGAGCATCCCAGTGCCTTCACTCAGTGGTTGTTTCATGGGTGTGGGGGATTTTTTTTAGGAGAGTATTCTGTGCATTTGGATGTCTGGGAGCATGGCATAGTTGTGTTTGCTGCTTTGGGTGACAGCTGGTGCTCAGAAACATACAGTAGATTCAGCTTTTCATTGGTTAGGAAATATCTAATTTGGCAGGAATATTTTTCTGGGATATTTGCCTTTTTTGGGGGGGGGGGTTTCTTTATTCTCTAGACTTCCCAGATATGCTTGGGTGTGTTACAGACATATAATGCAGCCTTTATCCTACTTTTCATCACTTTACTCTCTGATAGCATGGAGGGAGTGCGGGGAAATCATTTGAAAATTTAAAGCTATTTAGAAAACCTGAAGTTGTGATAGATCAGCAGGATAATACCTTAATTTCTCTTATTTTCTTATTGTGAAAGACTCATGTACAGTGTTCCTTTTCCCTTTTCATCCTAGGTGAAGGTCAGCTTTCCAGCATGTCCTAGTAATTCTACAAACTTGTCCAAGCAGATGTTGCATTCTTTGTCAAAGGAAGTCGGTGTTCCTGCTCGAGAGCAGTAAGTCCACAGGCTGACAACCTTTTTGATTATTTTCAGGTCTCAGAAATACCTCTCTAAAGCCAGTTGACTCTACTGGAAAAATGGTGCACCCTGTCAGTGTGTCCACTGTGTTTGGGCTTAAAAATTAATGGCCATTCCCTTTCCCCGTGAGAGAGGGGTGCAGGAGGCAGCAGTCCTGGGACAGGTTCCTTTTGGCACAGCCCAGATGTTCTTTCCTTGTCATTGATACTTCCTGATTTGTTTCAATTCCACCTAGTAAATAAGGATTTAAACTGTGCCTTTGTTGAAGCTGGCAGGTACTTTCTCCAGACCTTGATAAGAATGAGGGTTGTGTCTGTATTTGGTTTTATTTTTAGTAAGTTTAACTTAGAATAGAGTATTCCTGATGCATCCCATTTACTTTGCCTGAATTTCTGTCCATGACCAGTGAATGGCAGCTGGTGAAACGCTGTAGTATTGCCTATTACAGGAGGGGGACTGTCAGATATCCTGCAGTAATTCCTGCTTTCTGTCCCTTCAGATGAGTGAGAGTGTCTTACTTTATTATTTGTTTATTTAGCCTACAGAGATGATCCTCTTCCCATATGTGTCTTTGAAGTTTAGAGGGACTGTGTGCCGCCACTCTGGGATCTGAACAGCTGCCTTGGGAGCTGCCAGCAGGCGTGGGAGCTCCCTACCAGCCCCACTACTAACCTGACTTTGGTATAAGTCTGAGACAGTAAATGACATTCCTGTGCACATTTGGAAGGACTCGCTTCATCCATCGGCAGCTCTTGTGGATTTCAGGACATGGGCTGTTCTTAGGTGGCAGACTCTGCACAGCGAGCGGTTCCAGTCTGGTTTTTGGTGTTAAACAGAGGCCTGTTCTCAGCAGGATTGGCCCCCCTGGCACACAGACGCCCCGGCACGAGGAGCACATGCAGAACGTGCGCCGGTTCCACGAGTCGCTGCAGCAGGCGGGCGGGAACGGGAACGGGCACCGTGCCCGGCGGGACACGGCTGCGCCGGCCTCGCGCGCCGCGCTCCTCACCGCGCTCAGGTACCACAGCCCTGGGGGAGATGGGAGCGAGGGATCCCTGCTGGGAGATGGGAGTGAGGGATGCAGTTCTGAGGAGATGGGAGTGAAAGGGTGGGATAACCCACAAAGAGATTCCGGTGTCGGTCACGGCGGGTTGAGGCCAGGCTGGAAAATCAGGGGCTGGGTGGGGAGCTGCCAGGGGAACAGCAGCAGCAGTGTGTCCCAGTCGGGAGGGAATGGTTGGGTTTGTCCACCCTGGTGCTGCTGTCACAGAACAGGCGCTGTGGAGCCACCAGTCCCTTCAGCTGCCTTCCACAGGCACAAGGGTGAGCCTGTGAGCATTTTTGGGGTGCACAGAGCAGCGTATGCTTTCCCATCAGGATGTTTTTCTTCTTGCTAGAAGCAGTGTTCTCTTGACTAGATTCTAGGTTTAAATGAGGTGTAAATTTAGAAAAATAGTATTTATTATCTGTAGGAATACAGGAATGACAGAGACTTCCTGAGGTGCTTCATCCCTACCACAAGCAAAGTATCTTAAAATCCCTAGATCTTAAACACATAGAAATCCTTTTTATCTAGCTCAGATGTAAGTCACAGAATATCCTTGGCTTTTTGACTTTTATTGGAAGGTCATCTCAAATCCCACTCCTTTGATTAAGTAAGCTTAGAACTAGCTCTTTTTTAGCTTCCAGCCCAAGTTTCATAGCCAAGTCAGGATTTGTTCTGGATTGTTATCCTCTTGCTTAGAGCAACCTCAACACTTGCCTACTGATCTGCTTTTCAATAAAAACCTTTAATCTTTTATTTGCATATTTACCTGTTGTTGGCTGGAATGATCCAGCTTAAACCCAACTGCCACAGGCTCATTTTCCCTCTCTGACCGAATTTTTTACCACTGATTGCAGAAAGAACTTGAGCGAGCTGGATGAGGTTCAGAGATACTTCAGTGAGAAGCTGACCAGGTCTCTTCCCGACTTCAGCACGTCCAAACCAGGCCATGAGGAGTGGGAGAGTCACCATCAGGGCTCCACGAGCAGAGAAGTGGATCCCAAAGGCTGCCATCTTTTGGAAAAATCTAGTCAGTTGGTGTCGCAGGTCAGCAGCCTAATCAATGGTGAGTTGTTGCTGTGAGTAGCAAAGTGACAAGGAAATCAAATCCCTGCTGGTGCTTTTAAAATAACTTACCAGAGCAGAGAATAAACTGGAGCCCAGAGCTGCAGTTGCTGCCAGCTGGAAAGGTATTCCATGCTTTTTCTGCCCATGGCTTCCTACAGGGAAGCAGCATTTCCAAGAGATGAAGGGCACATCCCTGTTATGCCAGAATTTGCCATTCTTCTGCCACTTTGATCTTCTTTTTTCCTGCTCTTTGTTCTCCAAGGTTTTGCTCTTTCTGTTTCCTTTCTCATCCTTAGCAATTGTTTTTACTGCTTTTTTACATGCCCTCCTCTACAATCTGTTCCAGACTCTTCCTCTTCCACTTCCAAATGTCCCCCACCATTCCCTTGGAGCAGGACTTGCCTCAAAACAGTTGGCCACTTGACCTAATACTGGCAACCTCAATTCTCAGAGGATGCAAGCAGTGAGTAGGATCTGCTCACTGGGAAGCAAAAATAAGTGATTGTGGCTTTTTTAAGAATTTGTAAAATTTCCCATTAATTTCATCCTCAATGCTTCTGTTTTTCCTGAGCATTTCTGTTCCCCTGCCCTTGTCAGTGGGAAGCAGAGCAGAGCATGCTTACATCAGCAGTGTTTGCAAAGCTGTGCATGTTTAGCTCCCAACCATCCTTGCATCTAGAACTTTCTGCCAAAAACCCACATAAATCAGACTTAAGCTGAATTATTGCTCCATGCATTTACTGATGCTGTTTTTTGTTAACCAGACTTGCAGACTATAACTAAAAACAGCAAGGAAGCTTCTGACGTGCATCAGGAGAGCAGCAGGAAGCTGGGTGCTTTGGAGGTCCCCAGCTGGAAGCAGGAAGGAGGCAGTGAAGCTCCTGGAGGCCAGCTGGAGATGCCAGCTGTGCCAGCTGGAGATGCCAGCATTCCCAGTGGCACGCGGCCGCCGTGCCGTGCCGGCAGACCCGTGTTTGGGAGACACTTGTTGCACCAGCTCCTAGGCCCCCTTGTCCCTGGAGATGAGCATCCAGAGGGTGATGTCCAGGAAAAGGAAGGGGCTTTTGCCATCCAGCCACACAGTGAAGAGGAATATGAAGAAGATGTTATAGAGCCACGGACTCTAAATGAAATAACAACCATGACAGACAGGACGAGCCCCTGGTCCAGCGTGATCTCCGAAACAGGGCAGGGGGCTGAGCTGCAGCCCCTGGACCCCAGGGCAGAGGATCAGCACTCCATGGATGTGGGCTGCTTCCAAAGAGGGAACAGCAGCACCTTGTCCAGCATGCTGCAGGGGGACAGCCAGAGCGTGCTCAGCGCCCTGAGCCCACCCGTGAGCCCCCACCTGGCTGGGAACAGCCCCTGGGGAGCAGCAGGAGACTGCCAGACCTTCCCCAGCAGCACGGGAACAGGAGCAGGAGACTGCCAGACCCTCCCCAGCAGCATGGGAGCAGCAGCAGGAGACTGCCAGACCTTCCCCAGCAGCACGGGAGCAGCGGAGAGGGAGCTGCTTCTGCCAGCTGAGCCGAGCCTCTGGAGCAGAGCACTGAGCACTGAACCCATACAGAAAAGTGTGGAGTTCCCTGCAGGCTCCAAGGAGCTGCTGCCATCCTCAGGAGACATGGGTTTGACCAATCAAAAAGCCACTGAGAGAGGGGAGGAGGAAGATGCTGAGGTTGTAAATGGAGATCATCAAGGCAAGGAAGGAAGTGGCTCTGATGAGAACTGTCCTCAGAGTGTATCTGCCCAAGCTGGCTCGGAAAGAAACAGTGAGAGCTTCCCTGATGACAGCAGTGAAGACCCAGTGGAAGGCTCAGAAAACCCCATCAAACAAAAAATCACTTTGTATCCTTTACTCTTTTCTTAAACACTCTTGCATTGCATGGCTCCTCTGCTTAGTTAGAGTCTCCCTGGCCTCAGGACAGAGAAATGTGCAATGTGAAGTTCTTCCCTGGGAAATGAATCCAGAGCTGGTGATCTGGGAGGGTGTTGGAGGACCCCATTACACTGTTTCACACACTGTAGTGATGACTTTCTTGAAACCTGTAGCCAGCAAATTTTGTGATTTGTGAGTCACTTCATTTTGGGTAGTTGCTACATCTTGTTGCATTTTCTCTCCCTGTTATTTTTCCCCATGTGTTAGAGCTCTTGTGTTTCTCCTGTATCAAAAGAAAGTGCTTTATTTTGCCTTTAAAATACTTCCTAATGTTTCTTGCACAAATTACAAATCTTGGAGTGAGTGTTGGAATCTTTGCAGGATGAAGTCCTCTGCAGATTTGTGAGGTATTGTTTTAAAGCGAGTCAGTTTCCTGTGCTCTGCGAGCCCAGGTGAGAGAACCACGTGTTCAGAACAATGGAATAATGATTAAAACAAATGAAATTTACTGTTTGGGACCTGTTAACAGCTGAGGCTTTTTCTGCACCTGGACCTCTGTGCAACTGCATACTGCCAAAGGTTGTTCCTGAACAGTTCTGCTCAGATCTGGTCCTGTTGTTGTTCCCAACTTCTTCCTTCCACCCCAGGAGATGGAGGCCTCCATGAGACTGCTCTGCACTTCTTCCCATCCTTCCACACCTCCAAAAGTAAGTATGGGATGTCCTTTCCTTTACTGTCCAACTCAGTCCATTCCCTGAAGCAGGAACAAAACTTCTCCCTTCCTTGGCCTACCAGCACTCAGGTGTGATGGCTTCCAGCAGAGTCAGGGGGACTCTCCTGACACCTCTTCTCTCCGTGAGGGTGGTTTAACATCCATGGCTGTGTCTCTGTGGTCCCTATGCCTTTATATCCACCAGTTGTTGAGCGTGCTCAGGAAATGCTGCTCCGGCAGGGGCAGGGGCAGTGGCAGGTTCTCACTCTGCACTTCTTTGTGCTTCAGTGTGAGGTGACGTGCCTGGTTCTGAGGGGTTCTCACTTGTGATTATGGCTTCAGTTTATCTCTTTTGGACCAGGATGGAATGAGGGAGTTTGCAGCAGGAGGGGGTTCCTGGAGAGGTATCCTGTGATGGTTCTGGGACCCAGGGAGCAGAAAATGGCTTGAGTGATTGTTCCTCCTGCAGGAAAGCTGTGAATTGCTCAGGGTTTGCTTTTTTATCTTCATAAGGATTTATTTACTGTCAGAAGTTTGTGGTTCAGTTGTTTCAATGTCTATGTATTTATCTTATTTTCAGTTCCTAAAGAGGGGTTATAAAAAAGAGAGAGACTTTTTACACAGGCATGTAGTGATGGGATAAGGAGAAGCAGTTTTAAACTAAAAGAGGGGAGATTTGGATTGGATATTGGGAAGAAATTCTTCCCCCTGAGGGTGTTGAGGCCCTGGCACAGGGCTGCTCCATCCCTGAAAATGTTCCAGGCCAAGTTGGATGGGGCTTGGAGCAGCCTGGGACAGTGGAAGGTGTCTCTGCCATGGCAGGGGTTGAAATGAGATAAGCTTTAAGGTCCCTTCCCACCCAAAGCATTCTGGAATTCCGTGATCCTTTTCCAGCCCCAGCTCTGCTGTGGGTGTGGATCTGGGTGTGCAGCAGCTCTTTGCTTACCACTCCTAGACAGGGTGATGCCTTTCTTCCTCTCCATATCAGCTATGAAACACTTCAAGGGGCATTTATGTCACTGGGAGCAGTTTGCCTGATGGATCAAAACAGACTCAGGCACTATCAGCTCTGAAGGCACAGAAACCTGTGGTTTAATACTAATATCAGTTTTACTTGAACCCCCTGCCTGCAGCTCTGAGCTCAGTGGCTGGAACTACAGCCCTGCAAATTATTCCTAATTAGGTAAAATGTTAGCAAGGCGCTATTTGGATATTTTGATCTTAAAGCCGTTAATTTGAGGGTTGGCTGGCACTAATCCTTTGCTGCAGCACTTGTAGGATGGGCTGGGACAGGATTTGGTTGTGCCTTGTTCATCACATTCCCTCTGTGAAGAACCAGTTTTTCACTGCTACCAATGTATAGAGTTCAGAAAAAATGCTTCCTCATAGTTTTGTTTTTAATTGGCCTTCGGAACATCAGCTTCTAAATCTGGCCTTGGTTTGGTTCTGCACAGGTCAGCAGACAAGCGTGACAGCCAGGCTGAAACCTGAGCTGTCCTCGGGACATCACCTGAGCCCTCTCTCACCTGGCAGCTGGCAGCTTGTCTCCTGACCTTCCTGGTGCCCCTGCCACCTCTCCCTGGCTTTCCCCAGCTTCCCTCCTGGAATGACACAGCAGTGGTGAGCTGTGGAGCTGGGCAGTCACAGCGAGCAGCATTTGAGACAAAAACGTGGTCTCAGCTCCTGAGGTGTGCCCTGAGGAGGTGCTGCAGCAGGTCAGGCTCAGCCTGGAGCTGTGACCACCTTCCAGGGATCAGAGTTTTGTAGAGCCTCACAAAACCTCTTTGTTTTTCACTTCTCTCCCCATTACATCAAACTAACGCTTCCCATTCTTGGGGTCCTTCCCAGCTCTTGTCTTCCACACTGCTCTCCTGCTCTGAGGGGGGCTTAGAGGATAGGTTTGAAAAATCTGAGAGTTGATAAACTTTTCCATAAAATGCCAGAATCCCAGAATGGTTCGAGTGCTAAAGAACATCAAAGATCCTCTTGTTCCCCCCCGCTGCCATGGCAGGGACACCTTCCACCATCCCAGGGTGCTCCAAGCCCTTTCCAGGCTGGCCTTGGAAGCTTCCAGGTTTCTGGGACCAGCCACAGCTTCTCTGGGCAACCTGTGCCAGGGCCTCAGCACCCTCACAGGGAAGCATTTCTCCTCAGTATCCCATCTAACCCCGCCCCGTGGCAGTGGGAAGCCATTCCCCTTGTTCTGGCACTCCAGGCCCTTGGCTAAAGTCTCTCTCCAAATGCAGTGATATTCTTTTCCCTCTCACCTCTAGGAACATTCCAACAGAATAAGAAACTTATATGGAAACCAGTTTTACTCAGAGTAATTCATATTTGTGCATACAGACTTACCTTCGGTGTGAATTAGCAATAACACAGCCTTGGGCAGATTCACTAAAACAGGCATTTATATGTTCCAAAATGCCAACGGCAGCAACAGCCAAAACCTCCTTTCTTGGTTGTGTTGTTTCTTCTTGATCTGCTGGATTTGCCTGATTTCCTTGCTGGAAAGCAGGGGCAGGTGCCAGGCCGGTGCCAGGGTGGGTTGTGGCCTGTTGACACAGATCTGCTCGCCCTCCGTCCCTGTGCACAAACACAGCTGCTGCCAAGCTCGCTGGGCCACAGCGCTGAAACCTCCTCTGCCTCCAAGACTGCAATTCCTTGACCTTGGAGGACCCCATGGCCTGTAACGTGCTCCTGGACCTGCTGTAGCCCAGCCCCTGGCACACAGGCACAGCAGAATCCTGGGCTGGTTTCAGTGTCGCTGCCATTCCTGCAGGGAGAGGAGCAGAGCGTGATCCTCGGGGCACGAGTCCCCTTTCCTCTTGCATCTTCCCCCTGGAACACGTGTGCTTCCTGGCTGAGCCCCAGGCACTTGGAGCCTGAGAGACAGGGAGACCTGGATGGGCACTGACCTGAGCCTGTGCTGGGGTGAGGAGCGGTGTAAACACGACACTTGAGATGTGTGCTCTGGAAACTATGCAGGGCAGCAAACTGGCAGCCAGAAACTGCCTGGGAGATGGGTCACAGGAAGGTTTGGTGTCCAAAAAAGAGCAAGGGAGCTGGGGAAGGGGCTGGAGCACCAGGAGCAGGTGAGGCAGCTGGGAAGGGGCTCAGCCTGGAGAAAAGGAGGCTCAGGGGTCCCTTGTGGCTCTGCACAGGAGGGGACAGCCAGGGGGGTCGGGCTGTGCTCCAGGGAACAGGGACAGGAGGAGAGGGAACGGCCTCAGGCTGGGCCAGGGCAGGCTCAGAGTGGATATTGGGGAAAATTTCTTCCCCTGAAGGTTCTCCAGCCCTGGCACAGCTGCCCAGGGCAGCGGTGAGTCCCCCCATCCTGGAGGGATTTAAAGTTGTGTGGATGTGGCACTTGGGGACAGGGGATAATGGTGGCCTTGGCAGGTCTGAGGGAACAGCTCCATGATCTTACATGTCTTCTGCAACCTCAATAATTCCATGAGTCTGTGATTCTGGTCATGTCTCTGAGCTGGGAGCGTTAATGGTGCTTTCAAACTTCACTCATTTTGGGTCACACCTGTACATGTGAAACAGCAGCAAGAACTGGTGTTAAACCTCTGCCACAGCTGGAAGTTCCTTCTTAGGGAGGCCATTGGGATAGACACACGCATCTAACACCACTTCAGCCTGCACATTGGGCAATGGTGGGAAGATGGGAGGAGGTGTATTTCAGGTGCTGATCTCTGAAACATGCCAGTGGTGTGTTTTCCAAGCACACCTGGTTTCCTGACTGTGGGAGCAAACAGACTGCTCTCCTTCACCTCAGTGACATCAGATGGCATCAGGCACCTGCTCTTGTGGCTTTGGAGAACAGAGCATTTTAGGGGTATTAGATGTTAGGAGGGCATTACTGACTGTGAGAGTGGTGAGCCCTGGCACAGGGTGCCCAGAGCAGCTGTGGCTGTCTCTGGATCCCAAGGCCAGGCTGGACATTGGGGCTTAGAGCAATCTGGGATACGGAAGGTGTCCTGCCCATGGCAGGGGTGGCACTGGATGGGCTCTGAGGTCCTTTCCCACCAAAACCATTCTGGGATTCTGTTCCTTACATTGAAAATGGGAGGTGCTGGCTCTCCATCCCTGGCTGTGCAGGACACGTGGCACATGGGAAAGGGGAGCTGTGGGAGGCAGGAAATGCAGTTTTGTGCACCTTTGAAATAGGGTTAGTTGGCAGATTGGGGGAGTTTCCTGGAGAGATGTTTTCAAGTGCTGTGCAGAACTCAGGGATCAGCAGAGGGCCTGGTCACTGCCCCTCTCCAGCCACTCCTGACCTTTTGGCTGTTCCTTGGGCAGAAAACAGTGTGGGAAGAATGAGCTACTGTCCTGGTCTCTGGACAGCCCTGTCCAAGGGAGGTGCTTTGCCCAGCAAGCAGCTCTTTCTGCTGGTTTTTAAGCTTCTGCTGTGGCCAGGTCTGCATTTAATCTCTCTGGGCTCCTTGTACTTTGGTTTAGGAAATTCATCCTGGAGAATTGTTAAGAAGAAAGAAGGGCAAAGCAAAGGTTCTCCTGATTATCCATGTGCAATGAGAACAGGAAGTATTTTACCTGCAGGCTGTAATGCACAGGTTACCAAACACAAGGACTCACTTATTCCTGAAAAAGCCATTTCCCTCTCCAGACAGTGCATCTCAAAGTGCACAAAACAGGGTCCTGGAGCTGTTTCTCCTGGGAGGGAGCTGGGCACCTCAGGAGCCCTTTCCCAAGGCTCAGAGAAGCAGCCCAGGGATGTAGGTGAAAGGCCAGCTTGTTGGATCAGTTTTCCAAAAGACCTTCCTGGGCCCCCAGCTTCCTCCCTTAAAGGCTCCCGGAGCAGGGTCACTCTTCTCCGTGCTCCACAGGCACAGCCCCGCTCTGAACAAGCTGGGGGGAAATGTGTTTCTCTGTGTGCTGAAATTACTCATCTTCCCGTGCTGCTGGAGCACCAGGGACACAGCCAGGCTGCCGGGAGGCTGCTGGCCAAGCACGGAGGAGAAGCCACTGGTTAAACCAGGGCTTTTCCTCTCGTGGGCTGCTGCCCTGGGGTCCCTGCAGGCAGCTGAGCCTGGCCCATCCCGTTTATCATGGACTCAGTGATGGTTTGGGCTGGGAGGGACCATGAAGCTTATCCAGACCCACCCCCTGCCATGGCTTCCAGTCGCCCAGGTGGCTCCAAGCTCCATCCAGCCTGGCCTTGGGCACTTCCCGGGATCCAGGGGCAGCCACAGCTTCTCTGGGCACCCTGTGCCAGGGCCTCAGCACCCTCACAGGGAAGAATTTCTTCCCAATATCTAATCTCAATCTCTCCTCTTTTAGTTTAAACCCCTTCCCTGCCTTGTCCTGTCAGCAGGCTTAGGATTTGTTGTTGACAGAGCATTGCCTCTGCCCTGTGAGATTTGGTCTTCAGGTTCTGGAAATTATAAAGTAAAATAATAATGGAAAGCCAAAAAGCAGTCAGGTCCCAGTGAGTACACCACTGCCATTCTTTGACTTCATACAGGGAGACTTTGGCCAGGGGTGGGCACTCACCGTTCCAGGGTTCAGCTCGTTCTCTTTCTCATTGGGATGGTTTTTCCTGTGTATCTAACCTGTCACCCTCTGCACAGCCCTGTGGTTTGCCACGACATGAAGCCAAGAGCTCTGACACCTGGTCCCTCTCTCCCCAGAGCAGGAGTGCAGCAGTGCCTGGAGGAATCCCCTACCGAAGAGCAAACCGTCCCAGGCCCAGCCCCGAGCTCTCTGAGGAGGAGGCCAAAAGAATCGCCAGGATCTTCTCTGCTCAGCTCTCCAAGAAGGAATAGTGCTGGCACAGCAGAGCTTCCTAAGCCATGGCCGGATGCACGGACAAAGGAGGAGCCCCCAGTAAAGGGGAGGTGGAAGCCGCAGCTTTCAGGCTCTGCTTTTAGTTTGCCTAATTGGTTAGTTAATTGAAGTCCCATATTTAGAAGGGCTTAAAGCCTGTGGGCACCCACAGGGAGCTGTGTCTTGTAGGGGCAGGTCCCCAGTGAGACACACCTGTGTGGATAACCCATGATCCATCTGCTCTCCAAGTAGTCCAGTTTTAGGATTTATTCTGTGAAATGGCCCTTTCAAAAACAATTGGTGGGCAACACAATTCTCTGCTTCCACTGGTGCCCAAAGTGCTTGTGTGAACACAGGCCAAGGGCACCGTAAAATCTGGTGGGTGTACAAAAGAGGATGACTAGAAAGATGAGACTTTTATATTTATATTTAAATTATTTTTGTACACCTTTCAGAGAACAGACTTTGATGCCAGCAGAGCTCAGTTATTTTTGTACTGCTGTCTCCAGCATTTGTTTCAATAAAATTCCCCTGGTTTCTTGTCAGCCTGTGCCAAGTGTCCCTATGCCAGGGCAGGAACCTTTCCTCAACAGTAGACTGGAGTCTCTCCCACATGAGCTTCCAGGTCAGAGAAACACTGCTGGAATCAGGGGTGGCCAGGAGCACATGGAAAGAGCAGGGCTTTGCCAAGGAATTGAGTATCACCATGCAGCACAGCCCCATGTGGGCTAAGTGACTTCCAGTCTGAGCTGCTTCTCAAACCACACGTGGAATTCAGGATTTCAGCAGCCAAAGGATCAGCATCCCTTTTTTCTCACACTTCTGCAGTGTTGTTTTTCCCAGGGGACGCCCTGAATGCGTCAGTCACTGCTGGCACAACTTGCCCTGTGCTTGTGGCCCCTTTCCCTGCCCTTGCAGGGTCAGGATGGAAGGTAAAGGCACCCAGTGTCCCCTGGAAGGACAGGAGTGACGTGCAGGCTGCTTTCTCCTGGTGGCATCCCCAAAAAAGACCCAGGCAGGATGCCAGCTGGGCTGGGATGACTGCCATGGCCGAGGTCACAGCACTGACCCTGAGCTATATCTTGGGCATGAGGTAAACCGCGTCTTCCTTCCAGATTTGGGTCAGCCATGGAGCCGGGCAGGAAAACAAGGCAGGAGCCAGCTGGAGAGGGCTGTCAGTGCCAGGCAGCTTTTGTCTGGAGCCTGAGGGATGGAGCGAAGGTGGCTCCAGGGTGTCAGGACCAAAGTCCTCCTCAAACAAGGCAAGTTCAGGCCTGAGTGTGGAGGCTCGCAGCACATCCTGAGGCACATCCTTTCTGCATGTGGGGCTAATGAGCACCAAGGGTTAAACACACTGAGTTTTTAAAAAAGGGAGAAAAAGGGACCTTTCTTCACTCCACCTTGGCCTCCAGCCTCTCTCCTGAGCCCAGTCCCTCGTGGCAGCCTCAGACCCAGTGCCCGGCCATGCTCCCGAAGGTGTCATGGGTTTGATGGTGGATTTCACTCCAAGGTGCTCACCCAGCACCAGCTCCACCGGAGCTCGGGGAACACATTCCACCATGCAGGGGCAATCCTGCTGGGAGCTCAGCAGCTGTCTGGGATGGATTGTGGCTCGTGGTCTTGTCGGGCAGAGGGATCCAGCCTGCCCTGCACAAAGAGCTCAGTGCTGCGCTGCCCCCAAACCACTTGTGAAGCTTTGGGGCGAGGGTTTTCTGCATCTCGTCCTTCCCAGAGTGGTTTTAGGGTAAAAACCGACATTCCTCCCCAGTCCAGTGCAGGGGGTCTGGGCAGGACGCCCCTCCCCATGGCTGAGCCCCGGGAGGGGGGCCGAGGGCTGCGACAGCCACCTCAGTCGGGTGCCAGGTGACCCAGCCCCATCAAGTGAAATGCCACCGGGGGAACGCTGTTTTCCTGTCACCCGATCCGTGGCTGCTGGAATGTCGCCCTGGGTGCTATATAAGGGTGGGGCCAGGGGGCCGGCTCTCAGGGCACTGTCTGTGCAAGGCAGGAGCTGAACACTGTGCCGAGGTCCCTACGGTGAGGCCACAGAAGGACATGGCTCCGGGCAGGTCACTCTGGGGGAGTGATCTCACCCAGCATCCCCTGTTATGGCTGGGGTGGGATAGGGAAGGGTGGGCATTGGTGATCCCATGCTGAGCAAGCCCTGTGCCTCAGTTTCCCTGCAACAGAAGGGAGCAGACAGGGCAGGGATATGGTTTTAGGGATTGACCAAAGCCACCAAGAGCCACCATGGCACATCATCACCTCCGTCGCCGAATAGGACACCCACGTGAAGCCCTGTCCTGATGCACCCTGCTGGCTCCCCCACAAACCCTCCTCTCCTTCCAGCCCCCCTGCCACCATGGTGGGTCTGAAGCCCCCCGAGGTGCCCCCGACGGCCGCCATGAAGTTCGTCAGCGCGGGGATGGCCGGCTGCGTCGCTGACCTGTGCACCTTCCCCCTGGACACCGCCAAGGTGCGGCTGCAGGTACGATTCCCAAAACCCCGGGCAAAGGGAGCGCCTGGGGACACGGCGTGGGACTCTGCACGCCACCGCTGCCACGCAGCTGGAGACACCTGGGGAGGAAGGGAAGGTGGGTGATACAGTGGGCACCCTCCCACAGATCCAGGGCGAGGTGAGGATCCCCCGCACCATCAGCTCTGTGCAGTACCGGGGTGTTTTGGGGACGCTCAGCACCATGGTGAGGACGGAGGGAGCCCGCAGCCTCTACAGCGGGCTGGCAGCCGGGCTGCAGCGCCAGATGAGCTTCGCCTCCATCCGCATCGGGCTCTACGACTCTGTGAAGCAGCTCTACACCCCCAAGGGCGCTGAGAGTGAGTGTCCAGCACTTCCCTGCGCACCCCTTTCCTGAGGCACTGCCCTTTCCCAGGGAG